TATTGAATGCTCTGAGTGAAAATTATTTTGTTTTACATACTCAGGATGAATCTTGAATCAAGGAAACTAGGCTCTCACTGCAGCTCATGGATTAGTTCATCTGCTGGGGCCACCTGGGCATCTCTCACCTCATGTATGTCAGGACCTCACCTCTAAATGGCATCTAAGTTTCTCCAATTTAGCTGAAATGACCCCTTCAAGCCTCAAAATATATGAAGCCTGAGAACTTCAGCTTCTGTTCAATAGGAATGTCTGGCCCATATGTTTCTGTTCTTACAGATTACAGTTCACAGCCATATTTTGGTGGATACCTCCAATGCCATCTGCTGTGGGCAGTGATATAGATCACAACCCTTTGAGTTATGGTGCTAAACACAATTCAGCACAGAACCCACAGCATGCTGTGGAGGTAGAAAAACTGGCTTCCCCAGAGAAGGAAAACAAATCCAGTTCCTCCCCAGCCCATCCTTTTTCTGCAGTTGGGGTGCTCTTCCACCCCCCATGAATAAATGCAGGAGTCCTCAAGCACCAACACTGGCCAGGCCAAGTTGGGTTTCTTGCTGTATTTTAGCTGAATTCTGCTTTCAAACACCTTAGTCAGGGATCACCATGAAAGCTCTGCTACAGCTATGCCAGAGATGCTCGAGGTAGATGTCTCTCAGCTACATGGAGTCACAATATTGTAAAACACTTATTGTCACTGTGAGCAGACAAGCCTTCCAATGATGCAGGGAGCAGGTCTGGACTGGGAGAGGCATTTCCAGAGGAAAGCCACACAGTCAGAGCAGACTACACTGCTTCTGCTGGTTTAAATCACCTCATTCAATATTCTGTGTTGTCTTATGTAGCATGCAGTTATGTAAATTTATAAATCATACACTAATTAGCACACAATTTCATAAATTTAGTAACAGTGAAAAAGGAGGTTTCTAACTAACCAGGCTGTGCTCTCTCCCCCACAGATGGTACAAATTCAAACACAGCCTGGAGGTCGTATTTGAGAAAATCTCTGCTGCAACTTCTAGAGTTTAACCGCAGGCTCACATGCACTTTCAAGGGCTGTCTTTCGGATATCTCAGGCTCAATCTCTGTGAAGTGCAGCTAAGCCCTTTTCTCTCCTTCCTTAACACCAAACCTCCACAGCTCATTGCAGCACTGCAAATTTTATTTGTTTATTCTCATTCTTGCTCTCCAGTCTCCTATTCTTCAGCCATCTAAGTCACCATCCCTAGAGCAATTAAGCTCAGTCCATGCCCTGGGTTATACCCAGGTTCTGCAGGTTGCTCTCCATGTGCTCTGGCCTCCCCGTCCAGCTGCTCTAAAGGGGAGATGTTAAAATTAGGTCAGGGTATTTCCTTATTTCCCTCATTTGCCAAGCATGCCTTGGACAGTAGCTCTTCAAATGCAGGAACATGATTTGGAAAAGGGTATGGAGTCATAAGGCTCTTACGGGAACAAGTGTTTGAAAACATTTCTCACTTTAAGATACAAGTGCACAATTTTCCTTAGCTTATCCTAGTTTAACAACTCATCCCTGCCCTCTGGCTCACTTCCACTTCATCTCCACCTTTGTTACAGTTATCTGCCTTGCATCTTTGTCCTTTCTTGACTTCACCTCCATCCTTTCTTCCTTACTCTTTAATTAACTTTTTTGTCTCAGAGCATGGCGCTGGCTCTCCAATTCACTTCTCCTTTGTATTTTGAGACCTCTCTCTTGCTTCACGCTCCAAAGGAGGCTTTGCTCCTTCTCGCAGTAAGACTCATGTCCTGGAGAGGAAGTGAAGGCTTAAAACAAGTTCTTCATGTGTTTTAGCAAACTGGAGACTCACAACATAATATGATGTGATGCTGTGGGAAGTGGAACACATTGTCAATGGCAGTATTGACATCTGAGCTGGACAAAAATCAGAAGATAAGCCAAATAAAAGTCTGGAAGAATAAATATCAAACCCCCAGATAATTTATTAGATTAAGACCTCACATACACATATAAATACGTGCTCAAGATGGGATTCAACAGCAAGACTGGAAACGCTAGAAATGAAAAGAGTGTGATTATTACAGGTCTGTGATGTGCAAGGTGCACAAAAGCAGTAACTACACAAACAGCCAGGAAGTGTGTGTGCACGAACCATGTGGGAAGGACACAAACTGAAGGTGTGGGTAGGAGCCTTAGCAGCAGTCATGTTACTCCACAAAGCCTCATGGAAAACACAGCCTGGTGTGTAGCTGAAGGATATTCACTGGGAACACTCTGGACAAACAGTCTATGCTGGACCAACTCCCCAGCAGCAGCTCCCAGTACAGAAGCTCAAACTTAAAAGGACACTGTCACATCATTGCTTTCGCTTAGTTTTGCATTTCCTCTACTGTTTTAGCAGATGGAAAACAATTCCCCTCCCCGTACCAACTACTGATTTTGTCCTTTCCTATTTGACAATCATTGATTTTTTTTTTCTAAGGCTATAAATGTTTTAATAACTTCAACTTTGTAGTGCCTCATGGCAAAATATCTTTACTTGCACTGACTGCTAAACACTACTCCTAATGTACTGCTGATAACTACGGCAAGAGCCAGCATTATAAAAAATTATTTTCCACAGGGTCTACGAAATTAATAGCTTTTGTTTCTTTTGTCCAATCTCATAGAGAGTTAAAGCATACAGCTCTTCACCCATCAGACGTTTCAACCATCTTTAACTAGAAAACTTTTCTTCACCAAGGTGTGCCCCTTGTGTAGGTCTGACTGACAGACAGCACCTTGAGCATAGGGAACCCACAATCCTGACAATGTCCTTTTAAAAAGAGCTACAACCAAAAAATACAGATTCAAGCCAAAAGTCACCTTCAGAATTAGAATTTTTTACAGACTAAGTGATCATAAGGAATCCCAAAGCAGTTAAATATTGGCACCCACTAAAGAATCAAAGAACAGAATGCTCCCATGGAGTGTTCTCAACATAAAGGCACCTTTCAAGAAATATACATGTATTTTTTTCTGTTTTGAAAGGTCAGTTAGCATTTATCAGAAAAGGCAATTAATGTTTCAGTCAAACTGGAAAAGAGACAAGAAGCAATTGGACTGAAATCAGAGAACTGTTTCTCTATAAATGCCAACACATAAAAAAACACCAACAAAGCTGAAAAAAACACCATGAAACAACTCCAAACTCTAAGATCTATGTGATGGTTATCCCCAAATTCCCTGCTGGTCCTTGTACATTTTTCTCTTCTTTCTCCTTCTCTTTCCTGCTCTCTTTAAGCAGCAGACTACTCAGCCAACAGAATAAGAAAAGTTATGTCCCCACCTGCTCTACCTGGGCCAGGGCACTGAATACAACTTTGGGGCTCTAAGCAGAAACCTGGGCCTTCACAAGCTCAGGGAGTAGAACAAGAGGGGCATTCAACAGCAGATAGATATATTCCAGAAAACTGTAATACTTCACTAAAAGCAGCACAGACCATGCAGGGACTTTCCACAGCGGTAATTTTTTGGTCCAGCAATGCTGCTCTCCTCCTTTAAACTCCTCCAAGCACCTTTTAAAATTCAGCTGGGATGAAGAGAAAGGATATCACCTAATTTGTGATTAAGACTGGGCCAGAATGAAGCGGCCCAGAGTATCCTGAGGTTCTTCTTCCCCTTCATTCTCCTTTTGTTTCACTGATGGAGCACGGTGCTGCCAGGGGCTGCGGTGCTCTCGTCTGAGATCCACCTGGCAGAGCATCACACATTGCACAGGAGCAGCACGGGGAGGCAGGCAGCAGCCATACCCCAAGCATCAGTACAGCAACTCAACCCAGCCATTAAGATAAGCAGGGTTGCCTAAAGAGACTGTCTGAAAAGCAGTACTGGCCCATGAAGTGGTGTTTGGGAGCAAATGGCCTAGAACTTGCCCGTACTGGATCAATTCTACCTTTCCCTCGCTGCAATTTTACTGTGCAAAATGAGTATTTTAGTCTCATATTTCTAGGAACACATGCCGGTGGCTACTGTTACAATAAAATATGAACACTGCATTGTGGAGAAAATGACCATTAATCCTGTAATGTGCAGTCATTTTTACCAATTCGGCACATTTCTTTAAATAACCAAGTACATGCAGTAGATGGAAATGCATTTAAATAAACTGAAATAGATACAGCATGAATAATTAAAGCTGGCAGGAAAGTGTGCATTGTGAGCTTCTAGTGGAAATAATTACTGATTTGTCTTATTTACAGTGGAGCCTGGGTGCAGGATCAAAATAGTGCAAGTTAGTGAAAGTGTCTTAAGACTGCTCTTATATTAGCACTACTATGTATTTCATCTTGAAAAGTACATCAAATAGGTTTTGGATCTCTACAATGTCTGACTCTGTTCTGCTATTTCAGGGTTACCTTACCCAGCCCATAAACTCCGTCAAATAGCACTGATTTAAAGAGCAATGTAATTCAAACCTGTGCCTAGCACATCAACCTGCAACATCATCTATTAACACTATCAGACACTCTAGAGTTGAGCTTACAATATATCCCCTAAAAACTCACCGTGTTGAATATCAGAATGTTGAAGGAAAAAGTAGATCATAAAATCAGTGAAAAAGTACTAAAGTGCTTGTACCTTTATAATAGGCCAGGTTTTAAACAGACTTGTTTAATTAGAAAATAATCTACTTTGAACATGCTGGTTGTTGAATGTTAGGCAGCTCTTGCAAACTGCTTTAGAGCAAAAAAAATCGATAATGAAATATACTTCCGATATAAGGCTGGCAAAACTGTGACTTCAGTCTATTAGAAAATGTCGTAGATTAAAAAAAAAATGCTATTTTAAATTGATTACTTGGCACATTAAAGGTTTAGGAAAAAAGTTAACGCTTTCTGATTGGTGTACCCCAACAATATACTTGCATCACGATTACTAAATCCAAAATGAACCTGGATGCTAATTAGCTATGTTTTAGAAGCAGGAAAACAAGTGGCAATCAAATAATTTAAGAGTAGCTGTAGACCAAGGAGTTGTGTCAAATGAAGAAGATCTCCTCGAGGAGCCAGCTCTCCTCCAGCTCATCTGCCCTGCTCCTGGGGCTGCAGGGCGCCTGGCAGCAAGAGGGGGACAGCCCGTGGCTCGCACAGCAGGGCAGGCACGCTTTGTTCCTGTCACAGGGCTCTCGGCAGAGGGGTCCCGGAGCTGATGCTGGGTTCATAGCTTCCACCAGGTCCAGAAGAGAGGCTTCATACCTGCAGAAACACACCGAGAAAACAGTGCTATTGAGACCACAGCACCATGCAGGAATTGAATCCAGTTTTCCTGTCTCCATAAATCAGAGTAGACCTAGATTTGTCTGACAGGGGCCACCAGCACAGAACGAAGTTTGCTGTATGGACTCCTGTCAGTAATGACAACACAGAAAAGCATGGGTGCTCAGGTTATTTCAGGCTGTTCATCAGCTTTTCCATTTGAGGTGTGTAATGTCTTAGTTGCACTCTGGAACCTGAACACAGACCTCAGAGAGATGACAGCCAAATACACCAAACAAGGTAGACCCACACTGCACTCCTTTTCTCCCTTTTTTTTTTTTTTTTTAATAGACCTCTACACTTGATTTAGTTTCTCAGGGATTTGAAAACAGCAGGAGACTTTATTATTATTGCCACAAACTACATGTGCTTCCTGTAAATCTCTGTGTACTATATGGAGTCTGACTGGTGGAAGCACTGAAGGAATAGAATCTAAGCAAGGCAATACAAAATCAACATTTGAGGCACCAAGAGAAAAGGCAAAGGTGCTAAGCATCACTCAGGCTGTCCTTTAAGTGCAAGTACAGACATGGGGGAAGGTTGCAAGCCAGTGTGATCTGGTAATGCTCACTGAATAATGGCAGGTACTTGAGACACAGACTTTCTATTAATATTCACAGGAGACAAGACTTGATCTAAATACCAGCACAGGATTGATCATTACAATATATTTCCTCCTGTCCAATTTTAAATGTCTTAAACAATACCATTTCCACTGCTTCCCTAGGGAGCTTGTTCTCCAGTGATCTCTCAGTGATAGGTAAGAGATATCACTCCAGGTTTTTACCCAAAAGTCCCTTTGTTCCATGCTGTTGTTAGCACCAACCTGCCTGATGTTCTCAACCCTGAAGTAATTCACACATTCAAAGACTTCCATGCACAAAACATTATTCACATTATTTGCCCAAATGAAATTATCAGCAGAGGTGACTGAATCCATAGGGTACCTCCCTTGTAAGCAAATAGAGTTCATCTATAGCATGAGGAAACATCTCAAGCTGTTCTCTGCTTTGAGAAGCCTACTTTTGTGACTGTAAGAACCTAGAAAGACTAAGCAACTAAGACAGCTGGGGGAGGTTTCTCAACTCAGATGAGATAACAAATTCTTCAGAACTAATGTTTAAAGCAGTTTATGAATGTGAGACATTAGCAGTGGTCAATGTACCACCTAAAGGCAGACCCCCACCTGTGCTGTCCAACAGCCTTGTGCAGCAGCAGCAGGTAAAAGGTTTTCCTACCCTGAACTAGCCATGCCATGAAAAACACCCTTCTTTATCTCCACAAGGAAGTGGTACATCCCATCTGTCATCAGAACACTGTCACAGAATCATTTAGACTGGAAAAGACCTCCAAGACCATCATGTCCAACCTTTGGTCACTGTCCTGCCAACCAGACCAGAGCACTGAGTGCCATGCAGTCATTTCCTGAAAGCTGCCAGGGTTGGTGACTCCACCACCTTCCTGGGAAGCCCATTCCAATGCTTGACACAGCAAGTTACTTTGTCCATCACAAAATAACTCATGTCTGAGACACAGAACTACTCCCTCAACTCAAAGGTATTGGGTTAAACCAATGTTAATGCTGACAACTGAGGTTATGCTATAAAAGCTATTTTTTTCAATATTTATTGTTTCTTCCAATCTGATGGCTAGTCATTTCTATACAGTCTGACTTGACATTACTGCCACACAGGACTCTTTCCTGTTTGAATACAGATTGTTTGTTTTATTTTCCTCCAGATACGCTAGTTTTAATCTCACTCACAACCAAAAGGCCAATTTGCAAATTTCTTTTCCACATTTTAAGCTTGTCTACACATCTTTCTATTGTCTGTCTAAGTAGCAAAAAATTAGTGGCTCAAAATGAAAAAATACAGCTTTTGTTTCAACTGGATCTTGTTTGTGGCTAACTCTAAGCAAACATGACATCTTTTAGTTACCCTAACCAAAAAGTTCAGAATGATGTGGAGTTTTAGGTAGTCAAATCAGATTATTTTAGAGAAATCTGTTGTTTGTACCAGCATTCAGAAGTACCCTTTAAAAACTGAAACTCCTCAAAGATATCTCCAATATAAAATGGAATAAGCTGCACTGATAGCAAGAACTAGCGCACAGATATATGAGACTTTTCACATGGAGAAAGTTTAAGACTCGACTCTATATAGAAACATATATATGGTTTGAGCCCCAAAGAAACCCAGTTAACACATACACTGCTTTCATTAGCCACACCTAAAACTTCTTTTTAGATTAATCTAGTCTAGCATACAAATGCTTATCTCCTCTGACGGTAGTGCTATCATAAAATTTCAATTTCTTCAGCAGCCACATGCAATCACAGATTAGGCAGGGAAAACCAAACCAGCCAGTGCATTTACAGCAAACGTGCAGGCCCTAGATTTCAGCAGTACCTTGGAGTTCATTTCTTCTGCAAGTTTATCTAAGTTTTACAGCATTTCTGCTATCAGGAAGGCTAAATGATTTGGCAGATTAGAAGCACAGCAAATAGCAAAGATTATGTAAAAGACCAGGTGTTGTAAATCAGTCTATTTGACACCACAGTTATATATGCAATAAAATGAATGAACTCTGCTAACAGAGGACTATCTGATAAAGAGAATGCTCCTTGCAGGTATTTAGTGTTTAATCCCAGGATAATGGTTTGCCCTGGTTTGTCTAAGTAACATCAGACAGCATCTGGCTGGAGGCAACAGAGTAGACCTAGAATGGTCTGAAACTTGCAAAGACAATTTTTTCACCATTTATTTGTATCCTAATATTTAAAGAGACACAGTCAGAATGCTTGAATCCTGAAATACAACCTTCTCTCAAACCAGGGTATGTATTCTTTGCATGAATTTAATAAAAATATAAGCAAAACCAGGCTTCATTACTATTATTATTATTATAATATTTATTGTTATTATTACTATTATGATTGTGATTATTACTATTATGATTGTTATTATTACTATTATTATTACAATTATTACAACACATAATAGCTTCAGTGAGTTCAAAGCTACAGGATCAGCCACCCAAAAGTAGAATATTTCAAACAGGAAAACTGATTTGGCAAACTTGGCTTGTTAATAGTGAATGTCGTTTTGAAGCAAACTAATGGCCAAGGATCCCCCTGTATTGTTCCTGCTTCCAGAGAAGAAAAAAAATCCCAAACATTCTGCAGGAGTACCAGCACTGTACATTAAGCCACATACAGACATTCCTCACATATAGATGTTCAACCAAGCAACCAAATGTCCCATCAGTGCTGGTGCTTACACACACTTTCTTTGATAGGTTTTGTCCTCACAAGAGAAAGAAAATGCCATGGGCAACTGTCCCTTCAAGGATGGTGATAATGCAGTCTGTCCTCACTTTTTTGGTACATTTGCCAGTGTGCTGGAAGGTCAGTGAGCAAGGGGAGTGTAACTCAGGTTGTGGGAGTAGATTAGAATGAAATGTCACAGAGTCCAATGGGTTAAAATACACTCAGGCTGGTGGGAATGCCCACGTACCTCCTCTGAGTGGGGGGAAGCCCCAGAAATGAGTCTGGGGGCACTTAAGGAGTCTTGGATACTTTATGATCCCTTCTCAGAGATTGCCTCTCAGCTGAGCCAGTAATGCCCATCAGGTCTTCCCCGTGGGAAAGGGGGCAGTTTCACAGCTGAGAGAGCTATGTAAGGAAAAGCAGTTAGCATATCAAGGAGCACCATCTCATCTTGCAGGATCCAGGCTGTGATAGGTCACCTCTTGTGTCTCATGCAGACTAGCAGATGTACACCCAAAAACTCACCTCCTCCCTCGAGAGATGCAAACCTGGCCTCTGCAAAGCACCCTGGCACCTCCACAAACAGGCAAATGTTATGAGTCATTAATCATTAATAGTCCAGTCTCTCACAGCATCTCTGCAACAGACTGGAAAATAATCTCTTTTTTTTTTTTTTTTGACACTTCCCCCATGTATACTTTTTCATCTAACTTTAATGAGCTTGAAAGTCTGCATGTTTCATCATGGGAGAAGAACATTTGTAAGGTCTACAAGTTTGAATAAGAAACCTAACTATTTAGACAGATAAAGTTTGGTGAAAGCATTCTTCTAAAGTCTCAAGAAAATTCATCAGGAGACAGAACAGTAAGAACTGGTGTACAAAGCAGAAGGAAGGCAGGGCCATGGGCAAAAGGACAGAGATGAGAATAAGGAGACTAAACCACAGTGAGCTTTGAAACTCTTCTTTCAATGAAGAACTTTCACCTTTGCTTTTATTGTAGAACATAAAACTTCAAATACAGCTCACAGAACAGCACAGAGATGCCCAATCTGGGAGGCTGGTACCACTGGGATCAAGCTGATACAGCTGGGTCAGAGCAGAACTGCGACCTGGGTAGCAAAATCCACCCTGGTCAGATATTGCATAGTGCAGTGAAAGCATTCCCTTCAACCTCCTCTGCATTACTAAAACAGACTGCTAGAAATGTGTCTCCTCAGCCGCTAAAACTCTTTTGGAAATTTTATTAGAAACTCTCAGCACTGGCTCTTAATTAAGTAAGTATCTAGTAGAGTTTATAAACTCTTAATGTGAAAAGAGTTTTGTAGTCTATCACTAAGATAACAGGAAACATCATAAACCATTATGATTCAGAATAGATCATTAACCATTCACATTTTAAAAAGGAAAACAAAAATAAACACAAGATGGCACAGACCCAAATCCCTCTTTCCACAGTGTGTCTTTTTTACTGCTCGTGCAGCAGGAATACAGCTCTCTGAACACCTGCAAGTGAATCTTACTTTGTCCCATGTTTCCAAACTGAACGGGAAGGAAGGCTTTCACATTTTCATGACGAACACACAAATATGGTTGATGCTCTGGGAACCATAAGACCACTTATGCCCAGGATGGTTGGTGAGAAATCACCTGAAACCACTTGTTATTCCT